CAGGAGTTGGAGGTTGCTGTGAGCTGTAATGCCATGGCACTCTACCCAGGGGGACAGCTTGAGGCTCTGTCTCAAAAAAAAAAAAAAAAAGAATAATCTGATCCAGGACATGTTTTTAACAACAGTTTTGTGGAAAAACACAAAATCTTTCATATAGTGTTCTCTTAATTGACCTTAAATAAAAGCCAAGTATACAGTACTTTGTTTGTGAAGGTATTTCTAAGGTAAGAATCTTCAAGATAAAAGGAAGATTTAGTTATATTATTATGTAAAACTTACTCTTTCTCTTTGCTTTCAGCTTTACCAGCCCCTCACGTCCCACACTTCCATGAGATTATAAAATAACATTCCAAAAATAAGTAATAAAAACGTTATTACAATAGTATTTTTTTTCTCAATGCTCACACTGTTATTGAAAGGGAGACTGATAAATAAGGTTAGAGTTTCTGCCTATTCTAATCCAGATTGGCATGGGAACAAGGTCCTTGGTCTCAGAAAGTTATATCCACCCAAAGATAAGAGGTGTTTTACTACAAAGCAAGGTTTAGGTTATGTCTTCACTAAGTCTGTTCTTGAAAATAAACAATGACACACACCCATAATACTACCATCTCTTCTTGCCTTCCTGGGCTAGAGAAATTGTGAGTTACAATCCATTTTGTGTGATTCAATAATTGAGTTATACATAAAATAGTGGCTCTTTTTTAAACCTATAATTGACTTATTGTAACTGCCATAAAAAGGCCTTTAAACAAGGACTAAATTGCATTCGGTTCAACTCTGCACATGAATAAGAAATTTCTTAAAATATTTCAAATTTCACATCCTCTTAGGAGGAAAAAAACGTATTTAATTTGCTCAGTCAGAATTAAGGGCTACTTTATTCAAAATACCAAAAAAGTGAAAAACAACCCAAATATTCATTAAAAGAAGAATAAGAAAATTGTGATACATTCCTACAATAGACTGCTACTCATACTGGTAACACTATTGATACACACTATTTAGGTAAAACAAGGCAGATACACAAGAGTTAGGTACTGTTAGATATTGTACAAGTCCATCAATATGAAGATCAAACTAATCTGTAGACATAGAAATCAAAATAGTAATTTCCTCTCAGCCTGAAAGAAGATTGACTAGAAAAGATGCAAGGGGACTTTGTAGATAGTTATGTATCTTGATTGGCAAGCTTAGTTTGTCAAAACTCATTGAACTGACCAGGTACAGTGGCTCACACCTATAATCCTAGCACTCTGGGAGGCAGAGGCAGGTGGATTGTTTGAGCTCATGAATTTGAGACCAGCCTGAGCGAGAGTGAGACCCCTGTCTCTACTAAAAATAGAAAAACTGAGGCAAGAGGTTCGCTTGAGCCTAGGATTTAGAGGTTGTTGTGAGCTATGACGCCATGACACTCTACCCAGGGCAAGAGCTTGAGACTCTGTCTCAAAAAAAACCCCCAAAACTCATTGAACTGCAAACAATATCTGTGCATTCAGCTATGTATGTAATTAAGCTTTGATTTTAAAAGTTTATGATTTATCCCTATGTATTTCCAAAGTAGTGCTGGTAGCAGTGTGCTTTTTATCAGAATAATTTGTACACATGTTCTATCTCCCTCATGTTATCTTTCCATTTGTTACACAATTTTTTTAGAGATATTTTAAGCTCATAAATGTATATTGAGAGGAATTGAATTCAGCATATGAGCCAGTTTGGAGAATTCGTAATTGATGATAAGCAAATTTGGTTTGCTTAAAACTCACTTTTAAAAAGAGTTAAAACATTTGGAAGTATGTAGATGCATATTAGATGAGGTGAAAAACTGTTAAATGTCAACAGAAATGGAAGTCTCTGCTCTTTAAGATAGTTTAATAAGAAAACATAGGAAACTAAAAGGAAGTCTTAATATAAACAAGATATAAACCAGCCATTTCCTGGTTGATAACTGATTTCTATGTTACAATAGAATTCTGTTAATTGGTGAAGGCACTTTTACAAGTGTCTAACTGAACATTTTTTTTTTTTTTTTTTTTTCGAGACAGAGCCTCAAGCTGTCCCCCTGGGCAGAGTGCCATGGCATTACAGCTCACAGCAACCTCCAACTCCTGGGCTCAAGCGAGTCTCCCGCCTCCGCCTCCCAAGCAGCTGGGACCACAGGCGCCCGCCACAACGCCCGGCTATTTTTTGGTTGCAGCCGTCATCGTTGCTTGGCAGGTCCGGGCTGGGGATTCGAACCTGCCACCTCAGGTGCACGTGGCTGGCGCCCTAGCCGGTTGAGCTATAGGCCCCGAGCCCTGAACATTTTTTTGAGTTATGCATTACTCTGTTCTCTTAAAAGCATGGCTGAGAACAGTTTCTCTGATGGAAGAAAGATTGTTACTGGGGGAAAAATGAGGATGGAAGACTGCCTATATTATAATATATCATATTATTGCTACATTTGTTAACTTTTATCATTAGAGAATTGAGAGTAGGAGTCACGTTAAGCAGGTTAGTATCCTTAACACCAAGGACTGATGATACTCACTAGTATGGACTGGAAAGACCATACTATTTCTTAAACTACAGGGTATCCCAAAAGTTGCCATACCTAGAGAAACTAGAAAAGTGTAGCTAAATGTACTTTTATTTGCAAAATTTCACAAAATATTTACAAAA